AAATATGAGCGGTACGTGGTGTATATGTGTTCACATACGATACATTGCGTATGTGCGGTCCGACTGTAACAATTCTACCTCTGAAAACTGGAAAAGGAAAAAAAACTTCAGTTCAAGCCCTCCCAAATTCCCCTATCAAAAGGTTAATACTAATGCGTTAATAATGAGGCAACTAAATGCCAGGAGAAAAGCACACATTTACCTGTAGACAAACGTGTTTATACACACAGAGCAAGCACTTCAGACAGAATTTATGAAGAACTCCAGTAAATCTGTCACAAAAGAAGAAAACCAAAAAACACAATAAAAAGGGGCCAACAAAACTGAGCAAACATTCTTTACCCAGGAAGTGTCTAAACGATCAGCAGGCTCATGGAAAGGCGCTTGGCCACCTCCGTCACCAGGGCGGTGGCACTGCGCCCCCGCGGGGACGCGCAGGCTGTGGGCGCGGCGGCAGCGCGGACCCAGGGGGCTGGAGGCGAGGCGGCATGGCCACCCATCACGGAAGATGCGGGCTGCTTGCACAGCTGATCGTGTGCTCCCTGGGAGTCCCGCCCCCAAAGGAAACAAGACACAGTTTCACCAAAAGATGCGCACAAGGATGCCCATTAAAGTTCCACCCCTCAGAGCCGCGGGCTGGAAACACTCCGAGGGTCTGTGAACGAGAGACCGGGGTCCCCTGGGGTGCGTTCCCGCCTGGAACCCTCGGCGGCGATAAAGCCACACACAGGTGCTGGTGCACAGGGCGACGTGCTGAGAACGCCCGCTCTGCGTTCCAGTTCTAAGACGTCCACGCAGGCGAAGCCGGCCGGGCGGCCACCGGGAGGGCAGGGCGGGCTTTCTGGACGGTGGCAGCGGCCTGTCGTGACCGGGGTGGTGGCTGCATCAGTGCTCGAGGGGCAAACCTGCGAGTCGTACGTGCAGACGTGCGCACCTCACTGGGTCTAAGTTCTACCTCCATGAAAAAACTGGAAATTCATTGTCTAAGACACGGAGGTCCGTCGGAGAGGACGGTGGCCGACACTTGCGCTAAGCGGTTGTGCAGCCTTTAAAGACAGGGAACGTGGGCTCTGTCCGCTGACGTGAGGGAGTTTCATAAAAGCGGACTGAACAAAACCGAGAGACGCAGGAAGAGTAACAGTGATTGGTGACGCCGGGCCACGTGGAGAGAGAGAATGCCGGGTCGGATCCGTGTTTGGGGCGACCAGCCAAGCAGGTGGGGGCGGGAAACGAGGAACAGGGGCACCCCAAGGAAGCACTGCTAGCAAAGTGCTTCACGTCTCGCTTTTCAAACTTGACAAAATACTGAGACTGGTCGTTCTGGGGAGCAGGAACTAGGAACGGTCTATTTTTCTGCTCAACACTTTTATTTTAAAAATGGCACCCACTGACGTGTAAGCAGAGAAATAGAAACATCAGGGCGGGGGACAGAGGTTGGATATCAACAAACAGAAATGGGAAAACCGAGGGCGGTGACTCCGCTCCCAGGAGCTCCCTGACGGGGGAGCTCGGTGACTGTTTAAAAAGAGACGCACCCAAAAGGGAGAGGCCACATTTAGAAACCAGAGAAGTGGACTGTGGCTTAAGCTGTCGGGAGCTCACGGGGTGGCAGAGTTTAAACACAGCGCCTGTGCACATGAACTAGGGAAACGCGTCAGAGGAAGCAGTCATAGGCTGAGGGGGACCCCCGGCAGGTGTCCTGAGGCTCCCGGCCCTGGGGGCTCCACACCTGAACGCCCCCCCCATCTGCTCCTCGGACCTACCCCCTCCCCCCACCAGCACAGTGGGCGCTGCGGCTGTTCCGGGGCTGTGGCTGGTGTGGGGGCCCCCAGTCCAGCTGCTGTGCTCCCCTGCGCTGCCAGTGTGAGAGCTGCTCTGTAACACACCCCCAGTGGCTGCAGCTTGGATGCCCTGGACGGAGACCCGAATTTGATCTCACAGCCCTCAGTCCTGGCCCTGGCCTGGTGTTTCCTGGAATGTGGGCAGAGGACCGTTCAGAGCAGGAACCGCATGCCCGGGACCTGTGAGGGTGGTCGTCCCCCTCACCTCCCATCACCTTCTTGTGAAGAGCCCTTGAAAATGGAGCCAGGCAGCCTCCTCTCCCAGATCGCCTCTCTCTACCGGGGCTTTCACGGCCCCTCCTCTCAGCCTCGGCCCCAGCCCTCAGACATCTCTCTGAGGAAGGTTCCTGACGTCAGGTGCGTAATTCTGTTTATCAGGGTCTGCATCTTTGCGACTCCTTTAAATAAACCTACCCCTTCCCCGCACAAGCGCTGGTCTTTACATGATTCTCTTCTTACCGTTGCTGTTAGTCTGCCACGTCAGCATCCGTCCCGTCTCTGGAGCGTCACGTCCTTTGTGGCTCTCCGGAATCCCGCCAGGGCGTTCAGTGACCCACGGGACACGGCGTGCTCAGCGCGCACTGCTCACGCGGTGCGAGGGGCTGGCGGTCAGGAAGGAACGCGGCGTGCACCTGCCCAAGGCGCCCACAACCGTGGTGCGGGAGAAGGGCAGAGGGCCAGGCAGCCACCAGGGCGACAGGACACCTGGGGAGGGACAGAGGCATGAAGGTGAGACCGGCCACGGAGGGACTGGGGACCAGCTAACGTCTTACGTCACTTGAAGGTAGAATTTTGGACGTGGCGACCACTGGGACTGGGAGGGGCATGAGGAGGAGTGGGAGGAAAGGGCCGTCTCTGAGTCGGGGACCGCACAGTGGCCCGCACCCTTGTTTCGGGTATGGTTCTGCGTCAGAACAGTGTGGTGCCAGGTGGCACCGGAGTCGGGCTACGAGGTTTTGAAAGGATTTATATCTTCAAGTCTTAGAAAAGCCAACAGGGAAGTCCTAAGCCACCTGTGGGTGGTCCCCAAACACCTGCCACCCGGAGGCGGCCAGACCTTCTGCAGAAGAGCAGTGAGGCTCTCTGCTCAGAGACTCGCATCCCCTCTTCACGTTCGGGAAGTCTGAAGCCCTGACACCAGAGGGAGGCGTGTGTGTGCGTGCGCACGCACGTGCAGAGGAAGGGTGGGGAGACGTGCCTTCAGAACTGCGGGGACTCGGGGCTCAGAGGTCACCGTAACCAGTCGTGTGCCTGGAAGCCCGCCGAGGACCCGGCTGACCCTGGGTGGGGCCCCCAGGCGCACACACTGGCTCCCCAGGGTACCCCTGACCGATGCTGCTGCCCCACGGCCCTGTGGAACTTCCCCGAGACCTCTGATTCCACAGCGAAGACAATCAAGTACTAACCTGAGATGCTGCAGACACAGGGTGCTGCTCGGGGAGCTGCCTCGTCCCCCACGGCCGGGCACCGGGACCACCTCCCCCTAAAGAGAGACCCCAGCTCAGCCCAGGGCCGGCTGCAGGGGCGGGCGCCTTTATCACCAGACTCTTGAGTTGTGTCTGCCCCATCTCGGCCTCTGTTTTCTGTTCCACATTCTCCACTCGGGAAAGCAGAGTGGGCGGGGGTCGAGGGGCGCCCAGGCCAGTTGAAGAGCACAGGACGAGGACCTACGACTCCTGCCCCCGCCCTGACCGCCCTGGACACAGCCAGAGGGCAGCCCGGGTCTTGACCGCCTTCCTGCTCTCACCCATGTTTCCCGCCGAGCTTGCAGTCCTGTTCCCTCCAAGACTCAGAGCAGCCAGACAAGACGCTGACCACTGTTCCTGAATCCCAAAGCCACCTTCTTCTTCCCCAGGAACAGAAGCACCTCGGGCCAGCGGCAGGCTGCCGCCCACCACCTCCAGCACCGGCGGGCAGCGTCCACTTCCGACGCAGAGCCAGGCCCAGACCAGGCCCTGCCACGGCGCCCCTGTTCTCCGCCAAGGGGAACCCACTTGAAGCCACAGCGGGGATGCAGGACTTGGTTCCCAGAGGTTCCCCTGTGAGAGCGGAGAGCAGTCAGGAGGGAGGGCAGGGGGGCCGGGACGGGTGCCCGGCAGTCAGTCAGAGGGAGACAGAGGAGCAGCTCCCAGCCCGCGGGCCAGGGGTCCACGTGGGACGGGAAGGGGACCGGTCACAGCAGGGCAAGGGCCACGTCATTCTTATTGGCTAGTAAAGGACGTGCACCTCAGAGAGCTGAAAACACAGGCGGCCTTGGATACAGAGTAAGCACGAGCTACGCCGCCTGTTTTTTTAAATACATGCGATCAACTGAAATGTGAGCACTAGCGAACGGGGCCGTGGGCGATTCGCTTTCTCCTCTAATTTGCTACTTTTGCTTAACTAAGAGCCCATTTTCTTACTGAGAACCGACTGACAAACACGGAGACCAGGTGCAGGCGGGCTACGCGATGGTCTGACACCCGCATATACCGTGAAACAGGCGTCACAGCAAGTCTAGCAAACAAACACGGCCTCGGAATCACAATTTCCTTCTTGAGATGAGAAGGTCAAGATCTGCTCTTTTAGCAACGTGCAAACATAGAAGACAGTGTCATTGACCACAGTCCCCGCGCTGCACGTCGTACCCCCGCAACTTATTTTCAGGGACTAGTTTTTGTTGATTTTGGGGGGGCTAATTGGGTTTATTTCTGTTATTTTTTAGTGGAGGGACGGGGGATTGAACCCAGGACCGCGTGCGTGCTGAGCGCATGCTGCACCGCTGAGCTGCCCCCCGCCCCCTCCGTGACTGATTTATAACTGGAAGTTTGTACCTTTGCCCCCGTTCACCTATTTTGCCCATCTTCACCCTCTTATCAATCAGTTCTCTGCACCTGTGAGCCCATTTGGCTTTTTTTTTTAATATTCTACATACAAGTGAGATGACACAGCGTCTTACTCCGTCTGACTTAACTCGTTTGTCACGATGCCCTCTAGGTCCAACTGTTTTCTTACAAACGGCAAGACTTCCTTCTTTTTTGTGGCTGAACAGTATTACGTTACAAATCACATGTGCTGTGCCCATTCGTCCTCAGTGGACACCTAGGCCGCTTCCATGTCCCGACTGTTGCAGATAACACTGCAGTGAGCACGCGGGTCCAGGGATTGTTTCAAGGGAATGTTTTCCTTTCTTTAAGATAAATACCCATTAGCAGAACTGCTGGATCATATGGCAGGTCTATTTTTAATTTCTGGAGGAAACGCCGTGCTGCTTCCCACTGGGGCTGCCCCGGTTTGCGTTCCCACCAGCAGGGCGCCAGGGCCCCCTTCCCTCCACGCCCGCACCGGCATTTGTTATTTGCTGCCTGCTTGCTGACGGCCACTCTGACAGGGGTGACGGTGTCTCGCGGTGCATTTCCCTGATGAGCGGCCGTGGTGAGCACCTCCTCACGTGCCTGTTGGTCATCTGTGTGCCTTCCTTAGAAAACTGTTTATTCAGATCTTTTGCGCATTTTTAAAGTGTATTGTTTGTTTTCCTGTTATTGAGTTGTATGAGTTCATCACATATTTTGGACATTAACTCCTTATCAGATGTATGATTGATAAATATTTCCTCCTATTCAGTAGGCTGCCTTTTAATTTTGTTGATGGTTTCCTTTGCCGTGCAAGAAGCTTTTTAGTTTGACGTAGTCCTACCTGTTTTTTTTGCTTTTGTTTCCATTGCAAACCTCAATTAAAATAAAATATTGAAGATAAATAATAGGGAAATTTTCAGTACAGAAAATAGATAAGTTGACAGTGACCCCTGGATCCCTCAATTAGACGTAGTCAAAAGATAACTAGAAACTTCATGAATCTGGAGCTGTTCCTTTTTACAAGAAATAAACAGGATGGGGAAGAAGCCAGATTTAGAAACCTACGAAGGTGTCTGCTGGACAAAAGCCAAAAAAAGCCCGGGGAATCTAGGAGCACAAACAGGACATGGTAGCACAAAAGGAACCAGGAAGTGGCCTGCGCCCAGATCTCACCTGACCCTGGCAGGGGTATAAATGCCCCTGGCCCTGGAGGCTCCACACCTGAACACCTCCCCTCTCTCTCCACCTGCTCCTCTGACC